CTTTCTTTCTTTCTTTCTTTCTTTCTTTCTTTCTTTCTTTCTTTCTTTCTTTCTTTCCTTCCTTCCTTTCCTTTTCTCATCACTTTTCATATTCTTCCTGCTTCTGTTCTTTCCTCCTTTCTTTCTGCCTTTCTCTCTCTCTCTCTCTCTCTCACCCAAGTCTGCAAACTTGACAGCTAATCAGTCGGATTTAAGCCATCTAATTCATGCCTGCTGTTGTGCTCTGTGTATTTACTGCAAAATTCCCATTCACAATTTCTTTACATGGAGAAGAGAAAGAGAGAGGCCCTAATGCAATTGGCTATGGCTCCCTCTAGTGGATAGAATTAGCACTGCTGCTTTTGGGGTATATGAGATCTAACCAGCAACCAAAGGGTGGAATTCAGATAACTAAGAGGCGTGAAAGTAGGTGTGGATTTAGCAAACACACACAAAAAACAGCAAAACACAAACTCACAGACAAAAAAACCCCAACAACATAGAAGCCTATGAGGTTAAGACCATTTCTGTTCAATGCAAAATAGCTATAAAATAGATAGTTAAAAGTATAGAAGATGTCAACTTATCTAACAAATGAAATTCAATGGTGAAAAAAGTAAGGTTCTACATTTAGGCAAGAAAAACCAAATGTACAGGTATAGTATAGGTGGTTCCTTGCTCAATAGTAGTGACTGTGAGAGGGACCTCGGAGTCCTAGCGGACAGTCACTTAAATAGGAGCCAGCCGTGTGCTGCAGCTGCCAAAAAAGCCAACACAGTGCTAGGCTGCATTAACAGAGGGATAGAATCAAGATCGTGTGAAGTATTAATATCACTTTACAATGCCTTGGTAAGGCCACACTTGGAATACTGCATCCAGTTTTGGTCACCATGATGTAAAAAAGATGTTGAGACTCTAGAAAGAGTACAGAGAAGAGCAACGAGGATAATCGGGATTGGAGGCTAAAACATATGAGGAACAGTTGCTGGAATTGGGTATGTCTAGATTAATGAAGAAAAGGACGAGGGGTGACATGATAGCAGCGTTCCAAGATCTCAGGGGCTGCCACAAAGAAGTGGGAGTCAAGCTATTCTCCAAAGCTCCTGAAGGCAGGACAAGAAGCAGCAAATGGAAATTAACCAAAGAGAGAAGCAACCTAGAACTAAGGAGAAATTTCCTGACAGTTAGAACAATTAACCAGTGTTGGAGCATTCACAGCTTCTGGAGGCAGGTTGTTCCACTGATTCATTGTTCTCACTGTCGGGAAGTTTCTCCTTAGTTCTAGGTTGCTTTTCTCCTTGATTAGTTCCATCCGTTGCTTCTTGTCTTGCCTTCTGGTGCTTTGGAGCACAGGTTGACCCCTGTCTTCTTTGTGATCGTCCCTCAAATATTGAAATGCTGCTATCGTGTCACCCCTAGTCATGATAGCAGTATATTTTCTAAAGTTTTAAAATCTGCCATGGAATATTGTGGTTGATCTGTTAAACTTGGTATAGAATATTCTGGGTTAAGTCACCGTTCAACAACAGAGATTATTGGATAACTTTGCCAGGTTATATATAAACTTGTCCATCTAGGCTGCTTTTCAGTTCTGAGTAAATAAAGAGAAACAGGAATAAAAGAAGGAGAAATAGGTCTGAGGGATTTAAATGGTGCTGGTATAAATAGATTTCGGCTTAATGTCATGATGAAACTCTTCAAAGAACTTCGAGGCATTGTTTATCTTAAAGAATCTTTATTTAAGTTGCATGGCATTGGCACGTACATGGTCAAAGCCGAAATCTGAATTCCCCTCCCCTGAGCACATAGTATTAAAGCACAATTCCCTCCTCTAATTAACTGTCATAAATCACATTCTCCAATTAGTTTGAAATGCAGGCTTTCCCTCCAGTTCTTCAACCCGCCATTTCTTATCATCTCTTATTTCAAAAAACCTTGGTTCCCACACTAGTTACAATATTGTTATGTCTAACTAACTCCCACCACATTCCACCTCCTCCCACAGCATCATCTAATTCTAAGAGTAAAGCATAAGAAAGAAAAAGGCTGCATCTTCATATGTTGTCAAAGCAAGAACATCCACTGTTTGTAGCGTTGACATAGAACATGTCTACAGGACCTATGGCAACATCTTGTTAACATTATTTGGCCTTGGAAAGTTTTGGTGGTTACTAGGGGTGCCGGGAAATCACAAAGTCAGGGGAAAAAAATCTTAGAAAAGATCAAGACCAACATCAAAGTAACCAAAATGAACTGTCCAAAGACTCACCAGCTATTGAAATCAACTGAAAGATTTACTTTTGACTATTCCATTCCACCCTGTTCCAAACAACCTCACAAAGCACAAAACACAAAGTTTGTGTTTTAGTTCTGAACTTGATTTTCTGCTTCAGGTGCCGAAATACCTTTCCCACCATCTTTGAGTGGGGAGCTAGATTCTTGGTCTGTCTCAGCTTTTATACTATCCGAGTTTAGCAATAACAATTAGATTTATATACCACTTCATAGTGCTTTACAGCCCTCTCTAAGCAGTTTACAGAGTCAGCCTCTTGCCCCCAACAATCTGGGTCCTCATTTTACCGACCTCGGTAAAAGCATAAAAGGCTGAGTCAATCTTGAACCGGTCAGGATCGAACTGCTGGCAGTGGGAATTTTTTTATAGCAATAGCATTAGCACTTAAACTTATAAACCACTTCATAATGCTTTACAGCCCTCTCTAAGTGGTTTACAGAGTCAGCATATTGCCCCCAACAATCTGGTTCCTCATTTTACTGACCTTGGTAAAAGGATAGAAGGCTGAGTCAACTTTGAACCGGTCAAGATCGAACTGCTGGCAGATGGCAGACTTAGCCTGCAATACTGCATTCTAACCACTGCTCCACCACGGCTTTTCCAAGTTTAACCTTCTTTCGCCAATACTTTCCAAAGGAAGTCTTGTCTTGCTTATCTAGGTTAGATAAACTGCTTGCTCTAAGAGGGAATCCTTTTTCCCGACCCTAATCTGGTGTGCACTAGGTACAGGATCACTCAAACATTCAGATATTGTCATATTATTATCCGTTTTCCGGAAAGTGCATCTGTTTTATAACATAGTGGGAAAAAAAAAACGTCAGAGGCTGTTTCCGCGTTTGTTGAAACAACCTTTTTAACTTTGACTTTTGTTTGGTTCTCCCCCCCCCCCCCGTTCTTCCCATCCTTCTCGATATTTGTATATTCTTGTCTGAGTTTCCAATGTAAACAAAACCAAACCAGCAACAACAACATTGCAGATAAGCTTTCAAATTGTTAGGTGGCATTTTACCCACATATCTGTCAAGTAAAAGGTTAGAATTTTCACTCTTCTAAGAAAAAAAATGTACCAATTAGCAGCCAGGCAAACATGTTGCAGGCTTAAAACTTTGACATATTTGCAGATACAGTTTCCAGCGTCGGTAATCGTCTGACAGACAGAGACCTTCGATGACAGGAAGACATCGGTTGTACT